TACTAATGAATCTGTAATAAAGAGGCATAGTACGTGGGACTGCCTGATCTGTGCCATCATCATAACCTTTGAATTTATTGACCAATTTCAGCCACATTTGATGGAGAGTAAATTCCTGCTCTTCCACGAAAATTAGGAGCCAGGCAGACAAAAGCAGCTCTACTAAAAGAGTGAGGAAAAGAGGCAGAGAAATCTCAGTCCTCACCTTTTCTGCCTGACAGTAGCTGGCCAGCGAATTAGCACACACATAGGCCAAACTAGCTATGCTATGTATTTTTGGCTTCCTTCAGGCAAAAAAAAAAAAAAAAAAAAAAGACAGAAAGAATTACAGAAGAAGCTGCTAATGTGGAAGAAGGGATAGGGAACAGACCTAGAAATGAATTTTTAAAGCAGAAAGGTGTACCAGGCACAGGACATCAATCTTCATTTGTACCAGCGCTCAGAACAACTTTGATGACAGCGGGACAAAAGCATCAGTGGACCACAATACCTTAAAAAACAAAATGATTACGCGTCTCCAATATTTCTATATCCCAAATGGTTCATTAAAACAAAAGACGATCAGAATTGAAAAGCGCAGAAAATTTTTTTGCAAATTACATATAGGTGGGTAGTGCAATAAATCAATACCTATTTTCCTCGTGTTTTCTTCCTGTAATAGTTCTCGAAAAGCTGTGTATTTATAATGAAAACCCCTCAAAACTATAGCCATAAACTTTGTAATGCACATACTAAGTTGTTTTACACATAATTTCACTTTCAGCGAGTCACTTTTGCTGACAGAATTTAATCTTTCACTGTCATTTTAATATAATGACATATACAAAAAATTTTGCAGCTCTCAAAGGATTAGAGCACAGTGCAGTCAGGCACACAATATGCCCTGATGCTGGTGTGGACATCACCTTGATACAAACGAGCAGGACTATGCAGGAGTGCATTATGTAGCATGAGAGGCACATCAGCCGGAGTTCACTTTTCTTGAACTGAGACTATGCATCAATAGACACATGAAGTGATCCTACCTTTCAATTCCTGCTTTAGCTGCAAAATTTTCCACAGACTTCAGTGGACTTCAGTGGATTAGGCAAGATTTAATTAACTATAGAAACAACAGGGCAGATGCTCAGGGGACTGACAGCTATACCTGAACACAGAGGGCTATCTGGCACTGTACTGCTATTATCCTTCGTGATGAAGTGTGAGTAACACCTTGCAATGCAAAACATTGAATATTTGTGTTTGGTTTATTAGGATGGTTCATAACTTGTTGTGAATAACTTTATAATTTAGCACCAGGTAAAAATCCAATAGAAAGATTATGCCAGTAGTGATATCTTCAAAAACACACGCAATTTCTCATGAAAAAAATAAGATCAGCTCTTTCCTTGCAAAATATGATCTTCTTTTACAAATCTTATACAGTGAGCCATTTTGATTAACTTTTGCAATAAATAGTACCTCAAAATTAAATTGGCTAGTATTATATATTTGCTTTTTAAATTAGTATCACAATAGAGTCATAGGTATTGCTATAACTTAAGAATGAGCCACTAAAAATGGTGGCAAACAATTACATATCATTTAGATCCTCATGTAGAGCCAACTTTCTTGTACTTTAAAAATTAATATGATTCTGTGAAAAGTCTGTGAACAAACCCTTGCATGTGAATTTTCACTCTTAAGAATGCAATTTGCAGAAGATAAATATAACAGCCTATTTGCTTTTCTTTCAGTCTGAGTGAAGTATGAGGAGTGCATTTAATCCCCTTCTGAAGCTGGTACTATTTTTAAATCAGAAATTTCTTGTTCAGAGTCCTGAAGCTGCTCTGTTGTATTGCTGGCCTCATCCATAATCTCCTCACTTTGATTTTTGGATTCTTCTGAAATAACCGTTAACTTGTCACAAAAAAGATGGTCTTCTTGGGGGAGTGGAGAAAATAACTGAGAACAAAAGAGGAAAGGAGAATTAGGCTGCAGCAGCCATACCACATCTGGTTAGAAATATGTTTTCTAATGTTTCCCACCCATTAGTTGGCTTTCTCAATCCTTAGAAATTTTGGAGTGGTGACAACGTAACAATTTCTCTGCTTACTTTAACACATTATGCAAGGCTTGGAATCAATTCACAAGTGCCCGTATTTGTAAGAATATATCCCTAAGATTAGTGCCTTTTTTGGAATAAAAGCTTTCTTTTTAAAAAAGAAAGTACCTAGCTTTTTTTTTTGGAAAGAAAAGACTAAAAATGGTGAATTGGCTGTAGGTGAAGGAGGAGTCCACTGAGAGATTTGTAGAACAGCTCCAAGAGATGTGAATTGTTCCTGCCCTCTCAGAAAGCTGCTAGCTTAGACATCAAGTAGCTTTAAATGTCAACATAAACCATGACCGTTAGTGCAAGTAAAGGAGATGGAGGGAGATTTGCAGAGCTATGTAGTTCTGTGACAAAGATGACTTAATTTTGGTACTAAAGTGTCACAACTTCCTCCCACTCCCTTTTCTCTTGTTAAGATGGAACCAGACTCAGGAATCTCCATGGACTTCACAGCATGTCATAACTGTATTTTGAACACCAACACAAAAAGAGCACACACCTACTTAACACAGCAGTAATACGGCAACTACTCATTTTGGCAGCTCACAGGGCAGTTCATTTTATTGGTGGCAGCTGTAGGAGTACCACTGGATTTTCTTCCTTTGACCTGACCCTTCAGTTTTAGTACATTGCACATAACGTAAGCTGCTCTATCAACAGTTCTATCCATTGTAATTAAAAAAATAAAGACTAGCATTATTAGTAGTAGCCTTGGTCTATTAAACTGTGATTTGAAATGTTCTATCAGTAACCAGCAATCCCAAGTGTAGTGAAACTATTGCCTTTGATACTGTCAGTTTAGTTAAGTGAGACTGACTTTATTAGTCAATTTGTTTTGATTAACCAATTCCACCCAGTAACACAAAATGAAGATGTTTCCTCTTCTTGTGAGGAACCCGAGAGTAAAATGAAGTTCTACCTTATCCTGTATTAAGCAAAACAATTTTGGCTTCTCAACAGCTGAGTTCCAGGTTCAGCAAACTCCTGCTGTATGTCCTCAACTTAAAGCACAAGATTTGTGCTAAATCAGTTATAAAGCTTCAGTCTGCTAAACTCTAAATGAGTCAAAAAGAAAGACCCAAGAGAAAGCGTATAAAACTTAGAGCACTATAGAATAACCTTACCATATGTAGTATTCTGTAAAGCCCTATTTCTTGGAGGAGATTCTGATACAGCATTTAAGCTGCTAATTGGGTAGCAAAGAGTCAGTGGCATTCCCCAGCAGCTAACATTCATTGCCCTCATTTTATGTTGAATTTTCAGACATCACTAAATTCTTTGCCTAAGTTGAGCTTTATTATATTTGTGAAAGAACTTTGTTTCAGTTCTTAGTTGTTCACTATCTAAAAAGAGGAACTGCATGTTAACACCTGTTATTCTCCCCTATAAAACGAAGGAAAACATCCTGTTTCCAAGCCATATAAGGCTTCATATTACAAATCATGCAGTTATTTTAGCTATAAAATTCTATGCCAATTTTTCAATTGTTCCGCTTTTTAATATTTTCGAGTGTTCTGTGCATAAAAATTCAGAATGACAGTATTTCAGAGTTTACTGTACAGCAGCAAGCTTCAAAAAGAAGTCTGATTTCACAGCTCTTTCCTCACGTCTGTGTAGTGCCACAGAACTTGATGAAACCGAGGGAAACCAAGGTAACATTCAAGCAAAATTTATGACTTTCTAATGCCAGAAATTAACCATTAAATGAACTAACTTCAGCATGAGAAAGGTGGTGGAAAAGTACATTGCTCTCTCACCTTTTTAAACCAAAGCTCATGACGTTATCATTTCTACTTATTTGAATGCCTTTTCTGTTTAGTCATAGTTCATGACGTTATCATTTCTACTTATTTGAATGCCTTTTCTGTTTAGTCCAAATTGCTTGGCAGAAGAGCAAATTTTATCATACACAATATCTACTAACAAAAACAGACAACAGGATGGGTTCCTCTAGCCCAATAACAGCACACCAATAACCAGCATTGCTCCACATTGTCTTAAAACCCGCTCAGAATAATCTGCATTTTATATAGGAATAATAATCAGGTGCATATGCAAGAAAGCAAAATGAAAGAAGCTGTAAAAGTTTTGGCACAGAGGGCCTTTGGGCGGCAGGCAGTTCTAGCAAAAAAGCTGATTTTAACTATGTTGGGTAAAATACAAATAAACAAACCTCTTTCAAGTGTTGTGGGAAATAATATGAAGGGCAGAAAACATGTTTGGTCAGTCGATACAGAAACAAAAAGGAAAAGAAGCAGACAGAAACAAATATTATAACAGCCAACATGGATCCGAAAAGAACAGTGACAATTATCCATGCAGGAGTTACACCTGCAAAAAACAGAAGAAAAATATTAAAACTGCAGTTATTAATTTCATATTATTTTCAAAATATCACTTTTCCTAGGGAATTAAAAAACCTTTATTTAGTCTAAAAATTTTAACTGCAAACATAAGTAATTTTGTTTCCAGACAAAAAAATCACAGAACTACAGCATAGTTGAAGTTGAAAAGCACCTCTGGGGTTCATCTGGTCCAATTTCCCTGCTCAAACAGGGTCACCTACAGCAGGCTGCCTAGGACTGTGCACAGCTGGGTTTTGAACATCTCCAAGGATGGAGACTCCACAACCTCTCTGGGCAACCCGTTCCACTGCTTGGCCACCCTCACAGTGAAAAAGGGTTTTCTTGTGCTGAAGTGGAGTTTCTTGTGTTTCAGTTTGTGCCCATTGCCTCTCGTCCTGTCGCTGGGCACCGCGGAGAAGAGTCTGGCCCCATCCTCTTGACACCCTCCCTTCAGACACTTGTACACACTGAGCAGATCCCCCCCCTCAGTCTTCTCTTCTCCAGACTGAACAGGCCCAGCTCCCTCAGCCTTTCCTCAGAGGAGAAATGCTCCCTCCCTTCATCATTTTAGCAGCCCTCCACTGGACTCGCTCCAGGAGCGCCATGTCTCTCTTGTACTGGGGAGCCCAGAACTGGACACAGTACTCCAGGGGAGGCCTCCCCAGGGCTGAGGAGAGGGGCAGGATCACCTCCCTCCACCTGCTGGCAATGCTCTTCCTAATGCAGCCCAGGATACCATTGGCTTTCTTGGCCGCAAGGGCACGTTGCTGGCTCATGCTTAACTCGTTGTCCACCAGGATCCACAGGTCCTTCTCCACAGAGCTGCTCTACAGCTGATTGGCCCCCAGCCTCTGCCATAACTCTTTATCTGTCCTAGCTCTTAAGTTTTTAGTTTGAACAGGCTGAGGAGCTCTCAATAAAATGAACTTGTAACCATCATATTTTGACAGTTGCAGTAACACATACTAGTGATTTGATATGCAATATTAGGTGTATCATTAAAGCAAAAAGACCAACACAACCACCTACAAGGTGGTGTCATGTGAAGAGCTAATACATACACTCTTTGGTGTTTCTGGAATATAGGAACTAAAAGGTAACACTACCAGGAGTATAGACTTCTAGTTTCTCTTAAAAACATGGTAAAAATGGCAGGAAAGTGAAGTCAGCAGAGAACAAAAATCTATAAACTTCTAAACTACTGAGCCTTTTCAAAATTCTTGTCATGCATGAGGATTTCACAATAGGTAATGAGAATAGAGATGTATCAATACACGACTGTATGGATGTTTTAAACCAGCCTATGCTTGCTAAGCTCTGTCCTCGCCATAAATTAAGAAGAAACTGCACCACCAAAACCTACCTGCAATTCAACTGCAGATAATGTATGTGTAGGAAAAGTATATGAGGAAAAGTTTTTGAGGAAAAATATACAAGGAAAAGTTTAGCCCTATAGCTTCCGCAGGCTTCCCACAGATAGCTTCCTCTCTGTGATAACTTGTATAAACTCAGAGGCAGAGACACAAGTTATCTGAGGGAGTAAGCTACATGAAATATACATTATGCATGTGAAAAAGACAGTGGCTAGGGCTTCATCCTTTCTTTCAAGTAGGGACATAAAGCTCCCTGCTAAGATGACAGGGTCTGACCATGGTTGTGGCTATTGCTGTATTCCATAGAGAGTGGCTAAGGTGATACGGCTGGAAACGGCAGTGCTTCTCCAGTTGTCAATGGAGGAAAAATTGAAAAGGTACACTCTTGATTAGGCCTAGCAAAATTTGGGCTGGAGAGTGTTTGGTACTTACTGGCACAGCTGCCCTAAATATTAAAAGGAAAGCATCTAAAGAAAACAATTGTTTATATTATTAATTAACAACTGCTGTGTATCACACAGAGAAAAAAGCATCACGGGTGATGTCCTAGCCTCATGAGAGACAATGGCCAAATCACCACAAATTGAAACAAGCTGCAAGACAGGGTCCAGTTCCTCTCAGTTATAAATACAAGGTACAAAGGCATTCATATGCTAGTGAGTACAGCTTATGTACATGAAATTCAGGCCCACGCAGTGGGATCAGCAAAAAGCCTATGCTCTGTTTAACTCTTCTTTTCAGAATCTGAAGAATTCAGAGGCTTCTGCAGTGAAGTAAAGTATCATGTGATAGGTGCCATATTGCTTGTAGTTTTCATTCAGTTTCTAAAACCTCTGCTTTAAAGATGCACATGCACAGACCACCAAACAATACTAAAGACAGAAACATAACCATTTTCTAAAGGTTTACACGTTACACTGATGTTCCTTTTGAATGCCTTATCTGGTTTCCCAGTTCACTACACTGTTTATAACATTCCGCTGCATCAGATATTACTTACCATTGTGGGTTGTCTGGTCACAAAGCTCTTGACTCAGTTCACCTGTTTTGTTCCACTCAGGAATAACTGCTTGTACTTGAATACAATATACAGTCCATGGCTCCAACTGAGATAATATTTCAGAGTTGTGTTTAGTATCTATGTGAATGACCTAGCAACACAGAAGGACACCACAAAAAAATTTGAAAATCATGAGTCCAGTGAATTGACTAGCTAAATAACTAAAATTCCATTCAGTAGTACAAACCTTAGCAGTTATAGCTGCAACGTAGATAAGGTTTTTAGACAGGGTATTTCATTCTGCCTTTGCATAAAATTATTGCTAACTAGACATTAATTTCACCTTTAGCTAGTGTGTGAGACTATTCATACCACTGACTTACTGGATGATTCTAGATGCATTAATTAAGCATTAGGCTAAAGAGCACGACAGAGACATGCTTAATGAGATCTGCTCATGGATAGAAACAATTATGCAGCCAAATGAGATCACCTAAGAGTGCTGCTACAGAGAAACATAATTTAATTTGAAGCAGAGCATGTAGGATGTAGGAAGATCTAGACAAAGAAAAAAAAAAAAAGGACTGTGGAAGCTATTAGGTGACTGAGAGCAAACGCAACTTGCTGTTTAGAGGCATGATTGGTTACGCGCCTGTACTTAAATGGTGGCTGCACACTACAGCAATCCCTACAACATGCCCCATTACGTAGTAACAGACTCTTTCTCAGGGGTGAGAAGGCTCCATAGCTAGCTACGTTTCAACATTTTGAGCAACCAACTGCTTTAAAAAAAACAACCTGCAGAAGCTGCGTTGTTTGGCCCTTTTGCCTCTTCGATCCCTGTGGAAGTTTCCTGGACTCAGGCTCCGAAGTGTTACAAGAGCAGATTCTAATTAAAGTTCTATCTTTTGTAGTTATCAGTCTAAGTCTGCATGCCATATGTAGGAATATCTTCTTTTCTTTCAATTTGTGAATTGAAAACTGGTACGATTTTCGGGAAATGAGGATCCCTTATCTATGTCAAGGACTTTTGCAGGATAACAAATATATATCAGAATAATATGCACTTAAGCCTTGCTGTATGAAAATTATACTGATGAACAAAGCATTAATTCTACTGTGATTGATATCTACAGCTAAAGTGCTTCTTTTTTTCCCCTGCAATAGACCTTATGATCCTGCAATTAATATATTATTTATGATCTTTCTCCATGCATTCTATGTGGAGAAGTCTGTTGAGCTGAGGAACACATCTGTCAGGGGAAAAGGAAGAAAGTGAATTACAACTGATATAAAATGAAAAGGTGACAAGCTGGAGGAAGGCGACCACAGGTAATATAAGGCACCAACCATGGCATTATTCAAAGCCCAGACTTCCACAAAGACTGCTGTAGTACAAATATTTAAACGATACGAGATTTGAATTTAGGTCAGCTTATTGCCATATTCTTAGATGCTGCTGATGTCACAGCTTCTAAGTTTACACTTGCTTTTGTGTGTGAAGTACACAGATTTGATTGGGAAAACCGCATTGTGTACTCCCGCAAAAATAAATGCTAAACGGAGAGTAAACTCTCATAACATAGCAGTTATTTCTGATTACGGAAAGAGCAAATTACATCCAAGCTACTGTTTAACCACACAACCATCCGACATTTTGCTCTGAATACCAGTTGTAATGACTTTATTTCAATGTAATTTGTAGAGATGTATTTTTATTTCACTATTGGTCGCATTCAGAACCTCATCAGTACAGCATTTTACCAAGAAGAGCGTATATATCAAAGTCATGCCTGGAAAGTGTAGTCACAACATCAGGTGAGCAGAAGTTACCTCCTTAAAGCTGCCTTTCTTCCAGTATAGTATTCTGTAAATCCACGAGCCGTAATATTGCTTTAACGACCATTTGTCAGGTTCATGCTCAGCAGTAGGGCCTAAGAAATCCACATGCAAAGACCCAGATTCTGACTTCACTTTCACATCAGGTGGCCCAATGATTGCTATATATGAGAACGGTGGAAAAAAAGAAACAACAGAACTCAGTCTCACATTGTTCTCAATTTTACACTTTTATACACCTTATGACACTTCCTGCTTTATGCTTTAAACCATTTTATGTATTTGAAGAAAGTAATTTCCTGTCACGGGTGAAGGATAAATGAACCCTTTCCTTACAGAACCTGTCAAAGGAATTTATTTTCACAGTTAAATAACAGATATTTTTACAGACTACAATTCCCGTTAAGTAAATTTACCCAGTTCTCCTTTTCCAGCTATTGTCACTCCTGGAGGAAGTAAGACCATTTGCATAGGTTGTTATTGCTCACTTCCCCTTCTCAGCTGAACTGTTGCAACACCACTCTTTTCTGAGGAAACCCTCTGGTGAAGCGTGTTTTAATGTTTCCTTCACTGTGATTGCTTTGAAAAACTGAAACATTTGAATGATTTCTGCATGTCTTACTGGCCTGACTGACTGAGGTCCTTAGACTGAATACTGTATTTCATATTTTGAAAATGGCTTCTCTCTCTTATGCTTTTGTGCCACTACCCAAATTATTGCATGAGTAGCTTGGTCACCAACTTAAGTTGCATCTGCAATAAACTCTCTATTAAAAGTCTCCTATTATTCCAACACAACAGCTCTGCCTTAGGAGCCTCTAATAAAGTTCTGGCTCGCTAGAGCCACACTAAAAGGTATTTAAGAAAGGAAGAGTTCAGAGTTCACTATACAGACAATTTTGCATTCCTCCAGAAATATGTGCTTTTTAATGTAAGAAAATCTGCTTGTTGGATCATACATTGATGTCACATGCGCATCACACTCATAAGTATGCTTTTGAGCTTGTGAAAAATAATGTAAAGGTCTTAGCTACTCTGGTATTCTTATGCTGTTCTGACAGTACTACAGTGTGGGATTTCTTAAAAAAACAAAAACAAAAAAAACACCACACTAACAGAAATGATTACAAAGAAAGGAATACTAGATGTTTTTATCATGATGCCCTGCTCAGATAACCTCTCTACAACAACATTAAAAAACCCCAGGTCCACCTCATAAAATTCAGCCAGTACTCCTAAGTCTTTCTTTCCGGTTAGTTTTATACCCAGCTTTTCTCAGCTCATAAATTAGCTGCCTTTTCAAAGCCAAGCCTGATCAGAAGGCTACATTCTCTTTTAAAGGTATGTCAAACTACAACTCTGTTAATGATGTACAAGTTTGCTTGCTCTGGAAATCCATACTTTGTATTACACTTTCTTTTGGCTTAACCTTATACTGGCAATGCCATGATTTTTTTTCTTCTTTTCTTTCTTTTTTCAATGTTGCATTTCAGTGCTTCTGTTCTGGCCAGATAAACTATTTTGACACTCTGCATTGGGAGAGGGATAACCAATAGAAGCATTTTGAAAAATGAGGCTATAAACTGTAAAATTACACTCTGAAAATCCCAGGAACCAAAGATGAAATTCAAGCAAATGAAGGCTGAGCGAGAAAGAAAATTTTAAGAAGTGTTTCTGAAAGACAAGGCGTAACAGAAGCCTCCTGCACGGCTCCTTATTAAAAGTTGCGAGGAGAAAAAAAAACTTGGATAACATTAATTGCATAGTCTAAAATAATTTGGTTTTGCTAAGAATGAACAAAGTAAAGGATATTCATTGCCAAAGATCATTCCTGCATTCCCAAGCTCAGGTGACAGCAACATGGCTAACTTTTCTGTTCTGCATACTAATACAAGGCAATGCCAGTATCTAAATCATTTCTCACACAAAACTGCAAAGCTTCGCTAAGAGAATGGCAGTGTTGTGCATTGGAGATTATTTCTTGACTAAAATCTAAACTTTCCCCTATGAAATTTTTGTATTTTTTAGTAAAAAACAGAAATAGATAGCCTTTTGCCTAACGTAGCAATGAAGAAGAAAGTAACTGAACTTATTCAAATATCCAGGAAGTCAGAATCCTTGAAGGAAAACTCTCCTTGGCTGAAAAACATAAATAATCCATTATTTTAAGGGAAAAATATACATATTTTAAAACCTCCTCAAAAGGGGTTTCCGATATCAATACTACCATCTAGCTATAACAGTGAACCTACCATGCCTTCTGCCAGCTACTTCTACCATCAAAAAAAAAAAAAAAGAGTTCCAAATAAAATTTTACAGTTCGATGTAAATAAAATTTACAATGACCTGCATGTTACAGCTTTTTGTATGGAGCTGAATTGTAAAGGTGCACTCATAGCAGACAATATTTTAATGGAAGATTAGAAAAATGCTTACTATCATCCATTGGCTTAAATCTGACGATCACCCAGTCTGACTGTTTATTTTCTGACTCTGCTCTGACGCGTAAAATATAGTCTCCGTACGCTGATAGAGAGGAGATATCGCACTCTGTGAGTCCCATGTTTGTGCTCAGATTTTCAAATGTGCCTTTAGGGAAATTGATGCTGTATGGAAAAGAAAAAAAAAATTGATGCGTAAATCATAAATGATGAAATATCTTTCCTCTCAATTAACCGGAAAAGTGGCAGATTATTTGTTAACACAATCAGTTATGACTTATGAACATGAAAGATTAGATCAAATACATATGAAACATCATCAGCAGTACGTACATGCACTTTATGCATTTTATACTTATCTATAAAAATATTAATCACTAACTTGACAAAATAATATAATGAATCAGAAAATAAACACCCTTTTCTTGACAGTGATTGCAAAACTTGATTCAACAAGAGAGTAGATACTAGACAAGCCTGTAAATATTAAACCGTACTGCTATGCTGGGCTCTCTAATTCTGACTTTCAGCAAAACTGTCCCTAGCCTTTCCTTGTACGCATGAAAGCTGACTGGGAACCATGTAATGCAAGATAATGCTCTTTTTGTTTTGCATCAAATCTCTACCCAGGAACGTGGTGGTTAACAGGTAATTGCTGCCAGAACTCAGAAAAAACCTCCTTTCAACTACAACCGCCTGCACCCATTCCAGCCGCAACCAGTTTGGAGATTTCTCCTCAGCAGACACCCTACCTATGGGTGCCATCTTCTCAACTTCACATCCCGTCCTTTTATTGCCAGAGTTCAGCCTTTTGCAGGACTGTGAGACCTTTGACTCAATATGTGTGGGGTTTTTGTGTGTGTGCGCATGTGTGTGCGTGTGTGTCAAGGACTGAAGCAGGTAGGGACTCTAACTCCCGGCTAGGGAATTTGCAGCAGACCAGCACATGACCCTTTCTCCTGACAGGAAAAGACCAACTTGGAGGGACGTAGCGGCAAAACCAAATCAAAATTAAGTCAACCCACCAAAACCGACAAAAGGAGACCTCGGAAAACATGTCCTAAGTTTAGAGGCGCTCAACTGAAAAGCTGCCTGGCTGCAGATCATCAGACACTTCTACAAGGGCACGGACAAGCAGCCTGCCCTGGTAGCAAGGGACAAAACGCTGCTGTCCAGAAAGGACTAGGTAAGGTAGACACGCTCAGCAGGACTAAGTCTGTTGAACAACACGTAACAACACGACAGAGAAAAAAAAAAAAAAAACAGAGTTAATAAGTCAACATTAAAATGTGTTTCCAGCTCCAAGAAAGTATGTACAAAACAGGTCTGGATGTAAAAAGCGTAAAACATGCCTCTGCCCTGCTGTTGAGCTCAGAAGAGAAGTCTTTCAAAGGTCAAGGAAAGAGAGAGCTCCTGATCTTCCCGCAAGGGAGGGAATGAATCACAAACACATGCAGCTGTAAAATGTGAATTTCTGAGACAGCTTACAAATAAATACATAAAAGAAAGGTACAACTCCCCCAGACTTACCTCTTAGACTGGACAGTATAAGTTACATTTCCTTTGTGAAACCCAGGTGGATCCCACCGTAAGATGCTATGAAGATTAACTGAAATAATTCTCGCATTTTGGGGCTTTGGCACTATTCCAAATACTATGGAAGCAATTAAAAAACAAACATTTTAGTACGTGTTCCTCCAGTGACTTCTCAGTAAACTTCTGAAACGTAAACAAAGCCTTCTTTCCCTTCCTGCCTCATCCTCTCCCCCCCTTTTTTCCCCAATAGAATTTAATATGGGCTAGATGCAATCCAACACTTAAGTTAAATCCTTGATCCCTATCATTCACCCTGAGCTTATGCTATGAAAAAAAATTAGCTAACACCAATAATTTCCAGTAAGCATTCTCTTTATGATATCATCAGTTACTCTGACCGACTTGTTATTGCCTAAGACTTAGGGACTGGGTACGTTCACAAACTTTCACCGAGATTGCCAAAACTGCACTTTTCGTAAGTAGTGCCCCAGGGGCGCTACTGAAACAACATGGATGTGCGGATTATTTGCTGAAGATGAACATGAACGGTCTTTCTACACAGACCTGGGTGTAGGACTGAAAAAATTCCTCCAAAGAAAAAAAAAAATCTTATTTATTATCCTAACTGCATGGCTTAGCATTGAGATTTACTGGCGTTTAAAGTGCCTTTGCTACTCCTCCTGCTTCATGACCACCACTTGAGAGAGAAACGTGAAGTCCTCCTGACGACTTAACAGAGCTGCCCCCAACCAGACAGGAAAGTGGCAACTTCGCAGCACCCGGAGGCAAAAGGGGGGGGG